GGACGCGGGTGTGCAGCCCCCCCCGTTTGGGGGGCGTGTGTGGGGGCCCCGGGGGCCCGTCCCCCCCGGCCCCCAAGAGCCAAAAGCTGGCGCCCGCCGCCCAGGCGCCCGCCGGCTTCAAGCCAGCCCCCCCGGGGCCGCTGCTCGGAATGGAGCGGGCTCCCCGCATCCCACTGGGGCAGTGGACGAATGACCCCCGGTCGGAGCGGCGACCACGGCTTTCGCGCAGGAGGGGCTGCATTCATTCCACGCAGGAAACCCAAAGCAAACCAGCCGGGTCAGGGCTTAGTTGGATCTGTGGATTAGGCCAGGAAAAGAACACGTGGAGGATGCTGGCTGGAAAGCCAATGCTTCCCTGTCTGTCACTTGTGAATAAGCCATATAGAACACGGTGCAATTTGCAGATAGCAATGTATATACTGTACTCCCCAGCCAGCCAGGAATGGGGAGACTGGGAAGACAAACTGGGGGAGCCAGTCACTTTTCTTAAGGCACCAACCTCACAAGATCGTTTTTTTTAAATGTATTTATCCAATGTATGTGGCCGCCCATCTATCCAAGAAACTCTGAGCTGCACACAGGATAAAACAAAAGATTCCTTTACGCCAAGAAACCAGATAACACTACATCGAGGCTCAGCAAAACCACTAACTACATACACCCGTACCAGAACCTCCCTGCTACCTTCCCAGCGCCAATGCCTGGGGCAACAGCCAGGTCTTCATGGCCTTGCAAAAGGCCAATAGAGAAGGGGTCGTCTGTACTCTGTGGGGAGGCTGTTCCATAGGGCAGGCACCCTAACAGAGAAGCCGCGGTGTTGTGCGGGGAGGGAGCACTGTGGACACTGCCTTGAGTTGCCCGGAAGAAAGCCAAGTTATACATCTAACAAACGAATGAAATAAAAGAAATAAAAAATCACAAAATATAAAGGCCTGCAAATAGAAGTCGAACGACTATGGCAAAAGAAAGCAAAGTTAGTGCCAATAGTTATAGGCGCCTTGGGCGCAATCCCAAAATATCTGGAGCACCACCTGAAGACCATCAGTGTTGACAAAATCACCCTCAGTCAATGGCAAAAGGCAGCTTTGCTTGGAACAGCTTACATCCTGCGACAACACCTCTAACACCATCAAACAACAACTTCTGCCTTGGGAAGGACTCGAAAGATGAATAAAAATGCCAAATCCAGTCTAAACATCTGGCTGACTCTGTGACCAACCCTAATAATAATATATTAAATTTGTATACCACCCAACTCCCAGTGACTCCGGGTGGTTTACAATTATTAAAACATTTAAAAAACAAAGAACAATACAGAAAAGGACAACACACAAGGACAACAATGGCAGGGGGAACAGAAAGGAAGAAAGGGGCATTGATTGTCCTCGCCAAAGATCTGGACAAAGAGCCAGGTCTTTAAGTCTCTTCAGAATAGCAGTAGGGTGGGAGCCATTCATATTTCAGGGGGAACCTCGTTCCAGAGGGCAGGCGCTGCTACAGAGAAGATGCGCTTCTGGGGTCCTGATAGGTGGCATTGCTTAATTGATGGAACCCGGAGAGCGCCAACCCTACTAGATCGAACCAGGCAGGCAGATACTATGGCAGACAGGTGGTCCCTCAAGGAACCAGGCCCTGTGCCATGGAGGGCTTTATAGGTAACAACCAGCACCTTGAATTGCACCTGGAAGCAAACTGGCAACCAGTGCAGCTTGCAAAGCAGAGGTGTTACATGGGCACACCAAGGCAAGCCGAGCACTGCCCATGCCGCTGGGTT